GCTCCTCTTGCTGCTGCTGCTGCTGCTGCTGCTGCTGCTGCTGGTGTTGCTGCTGCTGCTGCGGCTGCTGCTGCTGAAGGGGTTCGGCCGTTGGAGGCGGGTAGGAGCCCACTTGGACCTGAGGCTGCTGCTGCTGCTGCTGCTGCTGCTGCTGCTGTTGCTGCTGCTGCTGCTGCTGCTGCTGCTGCATGTCTTCTGCTGCCTCCTGCTGCTGCTCTGACGAAGGCGGAGACACAGCAAGCCGGGAGTCAGCAGAATCAGGTTCTACGCTTTGCTGCTGCTGCTGCTGCTGCTGCTGCTGCTGCTGCTGCTCTGCTGCTGCAAGCTGCTGCTCTGCTTGCGGCAAGCTTTCGAGCTGTCCATCTTCTGCGAGCTGCTGCTGCTGTTGCTGCTGCTGCTGCTGTTGCTGTTGCTGCTGCTCCTCCTCCTCCTCGTCCTGTTCTAGCTCCTGCTGCCGCCGCAGCATCTGCTGCTGCCGCTGCTGCTGCAGCTGCTGGCGCCGCCTCTGCCGCTGCTGCAGCTGCAGATGATGGAGGTGCTGCGCCCACCGTATGAAGGGGTTGTGGTTTGCTGCTATGAGCTGCAGTCTTCTTATAACTCCCATCCGCTGCTGCTGCTGCTGCTGCTGCTGCTGCTGTTGATGCTCTTCCTGCTGCAGCAGCAGCTGCTGCTGCTGCTGCTCCTGCTGCTGCTGCTGCTGCTGCTGCTCCTGCTCCTGCTGCTGCTCAGATCTTTCTCGCTCTGCAGCCAGTGCCTCCAAATACGTGAAAGGCGTCAGGATGCAGCACCTGGCCACGCCACTGTCCCTGCAGCAGCAGCAGCAGCAGCAGCAGCAGGAGCAACAGCAGCAACAGCAGCAGCAACAGCAGCAACAGCAGCAACAAATGAATATCACGGAACGTTACAGGCAAAACATTCTGAAGGCGGAGAAAATAAAGAACATACGCAAATGCACAAAACTACAGCAGCAGCAGCAGCAGCAACAGCAGCAGCAGCAGCAGCAGCAACATCAGCAGCAACGGCAGCACGGGTAGAGAGGAAAGACAGATAGACAGACACCAGCAGCAGAAGGCTGCAGCAGCAGCAACTGTAGCAGCAGAGCAACGAGCATAAACATGCAACGAGACTGCATCTGCATCTGCTGCTGCTTCTGCTGCAGCAGCAGCAGCAGCAGCTGCTGCTGCTGCTGCTGGTGCTCACGCGTCTGAGGGGTCCATGAGCAGCTGCTGCATGCGCAGCAGCTGCTGCTG